TGACTGCAGTAAGTTTGATTAATTTTGACAGTAACTAATTGACCACAAAGAAAGAGGCCATGATTCATGATATCAAAAGCTCAAATAAAATATAGGACACTTCAGTCAACTATGATTCTATGAATCTTTTGCCACTTAGGCAAAACTCAGCTAGCAAAGTACATGCACCATAAAAATTTACCTTCCTGCATTCTACAGGAGAAGCAGCTGCCAAAAATCTCCGCTCAAACCAGAGGAGTCTCCTGTGATGATTTTCCTCTTCACTGCTAGCTTCATGCTCACCATCAGCCTGGCATGGCAGCATGGTGCTAGCAACTCCTTTAGGAATGCAGATCTTGGCAATGTGATTCTGACCAAAAGTCAGGAGCAGCGAAATGAATCCAAGAACCATCAGCTCTGCAAATTATGATATCAAAGTCAAATACACATCACCACTTTCCAGATTTGAAGGTCAAACCATAACTATAGAACTTGTGTCTTACCAGCTTTGACTTTTTCCAGAGCCTCAAACAGAGCACTTTTGTGCCTTTCTGTAAACCACTGAATTAAAATCAAACGAAAATAGCATCAGGAAATTTAGTTTCTTTCAACTAAATATAAGATATCTCTATGGCTGCTATAGATGCTTGTTTCATGGTGTCATGAATTTTGGTTTCTGAGTCAAATAAAGGAACACTTCATCCTTGTTACTGTGTGGATGTATTCGGAGTAAAGGTAACCAACCCCCCCCCCCCCCCTCTTCTCCCCAAAGATAAAATTTAATTCCCAAGTGACTAGAAGTGCAGGAAAAACTAAAAAGAAAAGAAAGAACCAAAACCAGTAAATAATTCCCCGACCAACTTGCCAGCAATTAATTGGGAAAAGAAGTTCAAAGAGCAGCCAAAAGTAACCACCAAGTTGTGAGAGAGAAAAATACAAAATCCTATCAATAAAGGCAGCTCAAACAGAAAAAAAGAAAAACTGAAACAAAAAACTACAAGCAGAAAAAATGAAAAGAAACATACTGTTCCAACTTTGTGAAGAACCTTTTCTAAGAGAAGAGAGATGATGATAATAACAGCACAGACGCCAGCAACAGCCCATGTAGGAGTTTGAGTAAGTGGCTTCTCCTCCCCACAAGCCGATGCTGCTATGGCAACTCTTGCTTCAAGTAGCAACCAGGAAGATAGAAGAAATGGCAGCCAAATATTGATTCTCATTTTCAGTTTACTGTAGAAAATTTTTACAATTATAAGATAAGAAAACAGTGTGGAGGCTTATCCATGTAAAATGGCAATATTCTTTGACATTGCTAGAAAAGGAGAGCCTGCATGCGTAGACTGTATCTTAATTGCTAATATATATTCTTAAGATAAAGTTTCATACATGTATTATTTAAAAAAAAAAAATCACACTCGTAATAGAAGTAATAGAGAGAACAGGGTGTTGCTCATGAAATGGATGATGAGATGAAGTAGCAGCTGTCACATTGAGAGGTGCAATCAAAACCATTACAAAACAGGAGTTGCCATTAATCCATTTCAAAGCAGGACACCATAACTATACCATTCGATATACAAAGATAAAGTTCTGCTAAATTAAAACATGATGATAAGGTATTATGCACCCATCTAGCAATGCAAACAACTCTAGCTAGAGGCTAAAAGAAGTTGATTGTTCCTAAATAGTGTGAACAGATGCACAAGTACATTTATCATTTGCCTGTAAAAGCTCATAGAAGTGGAAAAATACAATTGTTTGTAAGCCATAATGTGCAACAGGGAAAACAAAAAACACACCGACAGAAAAAGTAAATGGTCTATATGAAATCCAAAAACCAATTACTTTTTATCGATTGATTGGTTTTTGTTGGTTGGATATCCAGGCTATATTGGAAATTGAGACTAAATTCCACCCAAAGTGATCTGAAGGAAACACACCTCCATGTTTGCTTGGCACATTAAAAATTTAACTATAGCAATCAACCTAGGTGGATCAGTAATTGAACAAACCTCTTAAGGAACTAGACTAACCTCAATGATACAAGTCAAAATGATGTATGCTTATGCATGAATCTAATAAATCCATGGAAATGCATAATGCCGCTACTGGAAGAAAGAAGCAATTGTCTCTGATATGCAATGCAAATGGTGAAAATTGCAAAAACTAGAGGAGAAA